TAAAAAGTTTTTAATTTCTTTCTTTATTTCTTCCTTGACCAATTCATCATTGAGTAGAGAGTCGTTCAGTTTCCATGTGCACGTGGGTTTTCCATTGGTTTTGTCATTATCAAAGACCAGTCTTATTCCGTGGTGATCTGATAAGATGCAAGGGATTATTTCAATCATTTTGTATCTGTAGAGGGTTGTTTTGTGACCAATTATATGGTCTATTTTGGAGAAGGTACCATGAGGTGCTGAGAAAAATGTATATTCTTTTGTTTTAGGATGAAATGTTCTATAGATGTCTGTTAAGTCCATTTGGTCCATAACTTCTGTTAATGTCAAAGTGTCTCGGTTTAGTTTCTGCTTCCATGATCTGTCCATTGTTGAGAGTGGGGTGTTGAAATCCCCCACTATTATTGTGTGAGGTGTAATGTGTTTTGAGCTTTAGTAAAGTTTCTTTTATGTATGTAGGTGCCCTTGCATTTGGAGCATAGATGTTCAGAATTGAGAGTTCACCTTGGTAGATTTTTCCTTTGATGAGTATGAAGTGTCCTTCCTTATCTTTTTTGATTACTTTTGGTTGAAAGTCGATTTTATTTGATATTAGAATGGCTACTCCAGCTTGTTTCTTGGGACCATTGGCTTGGAAAATTGTTTTCCACCCTTTTATTCTATCCTTTGAAGTGCTGGGTTTGTGAGAAGATACTGTGCAAATTTGGTTTTGTCATAGAATATCTTGGTTTCACCATCTATACTGATTGAGAGTTTTGCTGGGTATAGTAATCTGGGCTGGCAATTGTGCTCTCTTAGGGTCTGTATGATGTCAGTCCAGGCTCTTCTGTCTTTTATAGTCTCTGGTGAGAAGTCTTGTGTAATTCTTATAGGTCTACCTTTGTACGTTACTTGACCTTTTTCTCTTACTCCTTTTAGTATTTTTTCTTTGTTTTGTGCATCTGATGTTTTGATTATTATGTGACGGGAGGTATTTCTTTTCTGGTCTAGTCTATTTGGTGTTCTGTAGGCTTCTTGTATGTTTATGGGCATCTTGTTCTTTAGGTTAGGGAAGTTTTCCTCAATAATTTTCTTGAAGATATTTACTGGCCCTTTAAGTTGGGAATCTTCATTCTCATCTATACCTATTAGCCTTAGGTTTGGCTTCTCATTGTGTCCTGGATTTCCTGGATGTTTTGAGTTAGGAGTTTTTTTGCATTTTGTATTTTCTTTGACAACTGTGTCAATATTTTCCACCGTATCTTCTGCATTTGAGATTCTCTCTTCTATCTCTTGTATTCGGTTGGTGATGCTTGCGTCTATGACTCCTGATCTCTTTCTTAGGTTTTCTATCTCCATGGTTGTCTCCCTTTGAACTTTCTTTATTGTTTCTATTTCCAGTTTCAGATCCTGAATGTTTTTGTTTAATTCCTTCTTTGTGTTTTCTTGCATTTCTTTAAGGGATTTCTGTGATTCCTCTTTAAGGGCTACTGTTTACTTGTACTCTCCTGTATTTCTATAAGGGAGTTACTTAATTCCTTCTTATAATCCTCTATCATCATCATGAGAAGTGCTTTTAATTCTGAATCCTGCTTTTCAAGTGTGATGGGGTGTTCAGGGCTTGCTATATTGGGAGAACTGGGTACTGATGATGCCAAGAAACTTTGGTTTCTGTTGCTTATGTTCTTGCACTTGCCTTTCGCCATCTGGTTAAGTCTAGTGTTACCTGCCCTCACTGTGTAAGACTGGAGTCTGTATTTCCAGTTATCTTGCTTGTTGCAGAGCTCCTCAGAGTCCAGATGTCTCTGTGGTCTTATGTTCCTAATCTCCTGGGTGGAAGAACTCCTGGGACTCAGGCCACCTCTTGGATCTAGAAATCCTTCTGCTCTGAGTGCAGTGGCTCCTTGGCTTCTCTGAGTGCAGTGGCTCCTTGATGACTCAGGATTCAGTATCTCCACAGGACAGTAGCAGACCGACTCTGTGTCGGCTGCTCTGAGTGCAGTGTCTCTTCTAGGATGACTCAGAATTCAATATCTCCACAGGACAGGAGCAGACCGACTGTGTGTCTGCCCAGCCCAAAGGACCAGGCAGGGGCGGAAGGGAAGTGGAATTCTGGAGGGGTGGGGTTTGCGTAGCTCCTGTGTCCTGAGTGTCCCTGGCTCCCAGATGTATCTCTGGGGCTTAGGGAGTGAGATGGAGTTCTTACCGGCTGCTCTGAGTGCAGTGGCTCCTCGATGACTCAGGATTCAGTATCTCCACAGGACAGGAGCAGACCGATTCTGTGTCTGCCCCAGCCCAAAGGCAGACTTATTCAAAATTTTAAAAGGTTTGAAATATATATTGTATACTTATTAGTGTAAGCAAGCTACATGATTGCAGTGTGGCATGGGACTCCTAGCATTTTCATTTGTCTACAGTTTTGTCTTCACTTTTTAGGTTGTGCAAAATATAAACGTACTGGTATAAATACAAAAGTAAACATTTCAAACAGCAGCAACTTCAAAATCTATGGAATGACAAGGAATAAATCTAAACAATAGAACTTTCTTGAAGGATAAAGAAGCACATGTGCATGTGACCACACAGTGGAAATGAACACAGGAACAGGAGTGTAGAGGGTGATATTTAGAAAACAGTGCCTGGTCCATCTTGTTCCCAGGCAACTACCATATTCCCACTGCTCCTCGGCTCTGACTGTGGCTTCAGCTAGCTAAATGAGCAGGCCCTGGCACCCATGAGACACCAGCATGGGGCATGGCTCTGCCAATCCCCCACGCTGCATCCACAAAGCTCGGCGGAACCCCAGACAATATCTGCCATCCTCCCTGTACCCGGTAGAAATGAGACTCTTAAATCTTAATGATTATCTAAAGGATTTATATATTTAGAAATGCTCATTCAATAAGATGCTCACACAATTAGAGTGGTTACCCAATATCTAACCTTTTGATAAAAGTTGCTACTCAGGAGAGCTTTCAACGAATCCGTGGTTCTCCATGGCTAATAGCCTCCTCCTTCTCCCCCCTTCCTCTATTTGTCCCCTACTCTTCCTCTTTTTCTCCCCTCCCCTTCCTCTTTTTCTCTCTCAGCTCCATCTCCTCTTTTACTGCCTAATCACTGAGCTCCACTGAGAATACAATGTAGCAGAATATGTATCCTGCTACACAGGAGCACTCTCAGCCTGTGATATCTGATTCTAGTCACTAGATGGAAGTGAGAATGTCTGATCCATCAAATACAAATCTGGTTGTGCCTATGAGCCCATTTCCAGAGATGGGATAGATATGATTGACCTAACCTATTGACTTAATTCATTAATGCATTTGAAATTTCCATAGGTTATTGAGAGAGGTATATCCTGCTTGGTGGAAGTAAGCCAATGAGGGTGAACCTATGGTTGTTGATTCCTGGCCTTGTCCCTTCTCATTGTACCCAGCTTCCTGAAGGCCAAGAGTTGACTACCTCTGTTCTAATACAGCCTCCCATTAAGAGGTATAAAACCTCTCATCTCATGAGCTTAATAAATCCTTGCTCCCAATCCTCATTTTGTTAAGGTCACAGCAGCAAGACGCTACCTACAAAATACTCCTAAGTCTATGGATTAGATGAAAGACATGGAAGTTATAGTTATTTGACCACCCTGGCAGAAACAGAATCTTCATAGAAGGCAGGTGTCAGGGCTGTCATATTCAGTACTTTAAAAAAAAATCAATGCTAAGTTCCCAGTGCTATGTTCATTGGACAGAATGTGTTTGTGCAATTAGTTTAAATAGACTAAAAATAAGAACTTTTTCCATATGTCAATTGTGTTGTAGGAACATAGGTTAAAAAGGGAAGAAAACCATGATGTGAGAATGAGGGAGCACCAGGGGTGGTGGGAATCAGGGGGCATCTCTTTAGCCTTAATTGTTGAAGTATCAACAAGTAATGCTAAGTGCATGCAGATGTTAGGTTTGCACAGCGATGGCAACAGACTGTCCAGGATTATGAGGTTCCAGGAGCAAAAGGAAGGAGTAGGGGCTCACATAAAATCCAACAGTTCAATTAAGTATCAGACTTATAGTTTATTGCAGAAAGACTTCTTGTTGCAAGAATTCATTTTTACTGTCTTATCTCCATTCCTAACAGTCCCAGTGAAGCAAACGTCAGCACATCTCTGGTTTCCAAACTAAATTTTGCCACCTGGAGAGGAAGAAAGTAAAGAGGCAAAATGTAAACATCTGTGGAAAGAGTTGGTGAGTCAGTAAAGAGTCAGATGGAAGGTACATCTGAAATACAAGCATAAATGAAGCGGCCTCTCAGAGACACTATCCTTCAAATCCTAACCTAATCCACAGGTGGGCCTCCATTCCCAAAAGTGCTGAATGGAATTTTAGAATCCAATCCCTACCATTTTAGACTATATATTCACCCAGAAATTCCTTGAAGATCACCCAGAAGCCTTTCAAAACAATTTTTTTCTTCATAATTTGTTTTCTGGTCTGAGCAACAGTCAGTGGTAGCCATTACCAGAAGCAAAAGGACCCTTTCTCCCAACCATCATTTTGTTAAGGTCACAGCAGTGAGACATTATCAAAAATATACTCATAAGTCTATGGATTGGATTGAAGACATGAGAGTTATGCTTATATGACCACCCTGGCAGAAACAGAATCTTCATAGAGGGGAGGTGTCAGGGCTGTCATATTCAATACTTTTAATAAATCAGTGAACAGTGCCCAGTGCTGTGTTCATCAGACAGAATGTTTGTTGAATTAGCATAGAAAGTAAAAGTAGGAACTTGTGTCATATGTGCCTTGTGTAGGAGTGATATAATGGAAAAGGGAAGGGAACCATGATGTAAGAATGAGGGAGCACCAGGGGTGGTGGGAAGCAGGTTGAACTGTTGAACTATCAAGAGCCAATGCTAAGTGCATACAAGTGTTGTTTGCACAATGCTGACAACTGACTTCCCAGGGTTATGAGGTTACATGATCACGGACAAGAAGTAGGGGCTCACCTGAAATCCAACAGTGAAATTAAGTTCAGACATGTATTTTATTGCAGAAAGACCTATTGTCGCAACACTTCATTTTTACTGTGTGATTTCCGAACGGAACAGACCCACGGTAGCAAACGTCAGCACATCTCTGGTTTCCAAACTGAATTTTGCCATCTGGAGAGGAGGAAAGTAAAGAGGCAAAGTGTAAACATCAGTGGAAAGAGTTGGTGAGTCAGTAAAGAGTCAGATGGAAGGTACATCTGAAATACAAGCATAGCTGAGGTGGCCTCTCAGGGATACTATCCCTCAAATCCTAACCTAATCCACAGGTGGACCTCCATTCCCAAAAGTGCTGAATGGAATTTTAGAATCCAATTCCTATCATATCAGATTGTATTTTTACACAGAAATCCCTGATGATCACCCAGACACCTTTCAAAACATTTTTTTCTTCATTATTTTTTTGTTGGTCTGACCAACAGTCAGTGGCAGCCATTACCCGAAGCCAAAGGGCCTTTCCTTCTATTCTTACAGACCAAGACATCTTCCTTCGGTCTCTGCATTTATCATCAGCATTCTGGGGATGGATTCATCACTGTAGGGCAAGCAAGATGACTCTCAGAGATCCCAGACCTTACATACCTTTGAAGGATACGAGGGAGGCACACTTCTGACCAGGTTTAGCCTGACAACAACCTTCTCCATGCTCACAAATTCCTCGAGAATTGATCTTAGCACACGTGAAACATGTCAAAGCTGAAAAGACAAAATCCAGTGCCAGGGTCTCATTCAGGTTCCAAACTCAAGCACCATTGTGAGCTGAGCTTGTGGCTCTGGGAAATAAATAAGCAATAGCCAGGAAAAGAGTTGGATGTATGCTGAGCTAACACTTTCATGAAGGGTCATGTCACAAGACTCTGAAAAGGAAAGGTTGGAGAAGAGATGGAAGGTTCCCCAACCTCATACCATGAGAATGGGCCAAGTTATCAGAATGAGAAATCAAAGCTCTGATGTGGGGTGCCTAATGAACACACAGCATTATGTTTCTGAGGCCTCTTAAGATAGAGATGACAGAAAGGGACCCAAGTCTGACATTGTCAGACATGATTGTATTCATTGGCACACACTGCAAAGGAAGCGTCTCTCCTACAGGAAATCCTCACAGGAATTTTTAAACCTCAGTGTTCTATCACACTGATTGGATAAATGTATTGTTTTCATCGTGGTAATGACCTTCCTTTCTCACTTCCAATGTAAATTCAGGCCAATTTGCATGTAAACTTGAGGAACTGAAGATGCTTAAGTATTTTACAGAATGGATGTGGAAGAAGGTCGAGAGGAGAACAGAGTGGCAAGGAGATGCAGAAAGTACAGAGAGAAGGACAGGAAAGTGTCTATGAGTGTGCACAGCAGAAGCAACGGGAGGATGTCAATATGGATACAGGACTGAAGCAGGGTCGGTTCTGTTATCCTATTTCCTGTTCCTCACATCCCCAGTGTCCCCTAGTCTGTAGCATCAGTGTGTCTGTCCACCAGTACCAAACACTACCATCTGCCAGGATCTTACCTTGCAGGGAGCTCACCAGCAAAGACAGGCCCAGCAGGAGCAGCAAGATGTGCTTTCCCATTGCAGTGAGATTGACCTGCAGAGCAGAAAGCATCCGAGGAGTGGACAGTGTGCTCAGGACCCAAATCAGCAAGGCAGGTTTATATTGTAGCCTAGGTTAGAAGGGGACACCAGGAAATAGACTGAGAATTTTGCCAGGGGGGAGCCTAGATACCGCAGATTTTTACTAACTTGATTGTGGTAGAACACATCATCTGAAAAGCATCCATTACGGTAAATCTTAAATTCAGGGACAACTGAGTCAGAGTTAGTTGACTCCCTGGTGGTCCCAGGTCTTTTCAGGAGACTGCAGTCAATCTGCTGGCCAGAAGGAAAATTTCCTTCAGGTACTCTGTGGAAAGTATGTTCTGGGAAATCTTGAGCACTGGTGATCTTTGAATCTCTAGATGAGGTCTGACACTCCCAGTATCCATACACCTCTGCTCTTCCATTTAAGAATACCAAACTGAAATAAGTTTTTTTTCCATTTTTATTTACTTTTTACCTTTAAAAATTGGTTATTTTATTTATTTATATTTCAAATGTTATCCCCTTTCCAAGTTTCTCCTCCACAAAACCCCTACGCCTTCCCTCCTCCTTGCCTTTATGAGGATGTTCCCCTACCCACTCACCCACTCCCTCCTCAGTATCCTAGCATTCTCCTAAGCTTGGTTATCCAGCCTCAACCAGATTGAAGAGCTCCCCTCAATTGATGTCAGATAAAGCATTCCTCTGCACATATCCAGCTGGAGCCAGGTGCCCCCATGTGTACTCTTTGGTTGTTGTTACTGAGAGCTTTGGAGGGGGGTGGGAGTCTGGTTGGGTGATATTCTTGTTCTTCCTATGGGGTTGCAAAACCCTTCAGTTCCTTCTGTCCTTGCCCTTACATTTTTATCAGGGTCCCCAACCTCCATCCTATGTTTGAATGCATGTATCAACAGCTTCTGTATTGACTCTGGTAGATCCTCTCAACAGACAGCTATACCAAGCTCCTGTTGGCAAGCACTTTTTAATATTAGCAATAGTGTCTGGGTTTGGTCTTTTTTTCTTTTAATTTCCAGACAGGGTTTCTCTGTGTAGCCCTGGCTGTCCTGACACTCACTCTGTAGACCAGCCTGGCCTCAAACTCAGAAATCTGCCTGCCTCTGCCTCCCAAGTGCTGGGATTAAAGGCATGCACCACCACTTCCCGGTTGGGTTTGGTCTTTTAAGAACAACGACAACTACAACAACAATAACAACAACAAAATCAAAACCACCAAAACCAAAGCACAGAGAATCTGTTTGATCATTGCTCTTTACTTCCAGGAACTTGAAGTTTTAGTGTTTGCTGCACTTTCCTCAACAACTTTCAAATGGGAACTCATGGATGTGAGATTCAATCCTAATATCTGGCGGCCAATACACCAGAAGGGTGTTACACACTGTACTCTGATTTTCAGTACAGAAGGAAACTACATGTCTCAACCTGATACATCAACGATTTAAAATTCTGTGTTCATGGAATTGGTATATATGCCTATGTATATCTTGTGTAGTTCAATAAAACAGTAGTAAACACAAATAGCACATTTATGCTTGCTTCCCATACAGGCCAGGGTCATTCTCCTACCATAGGATATCAAGATAGGAGATTTAAAGATCTTGGGGGAAAGTCTGAGAAAGAAAAACAGCCTTTCATTGAGGGTCTGGTTTTCCTGTTCTGCTGATGAGTCAAGAAACTTCCAGCACCGTCGTTAGAGTTTTAAGAGTTAATAGGTTTCCTTAACACATATCAGATGCCCTAGTTAGATTTTTATTGCCAACTTGACATACCCTAGAAAAGGGAATCTCAATTGAAAAATTGCCTGAATCATATTGGCCCACGGTCCTGACTGTGAGTTGATGTTGGCCAATTGATGTAGGAGGACACAGTCCAACACGAACAGTATCAACCTTAGACAGGAAAAAATGTAGCAAAGAGAAATGATCGAGTGAACCAGGAAATGGTGTTCCTCCATGATTTCTGCTTCAGTTCTTTAGTCCTTGCTCTCAATTCCTTCAAGGATAGACTGTGGTCTGGAAATGTAGGCTGAAATAAGTCTTTACCTTACTCAAGTTCCATTTGGCTATGGTGTTTGTCACAGCAATAGAAAGAAAACTAGAAAAGATGTGAAAAAATGATAAATTAATTCTTTATTATACCACCCAAATGATATGTAGTCTTGAGTTTCTCACATTTTTCTCTCATTATTACATTGGTAAACCCACATAACAGCTTTGTCTTATATGAAAAATTCTAAGCATTTAACACTGTAGTAAACTATAGTGTGAACAATGTTTAAAGGTATGAGGTTCTTAGCCACCTTTAGGAATTAATGTTTTTAGTTAATTCATTGTAAATATAGTTAATCCAGATAGTCCTTTAATGAGCCCATTTATACAACATAAGCCTTCTATTTTAATATGTGCAACCAGGAAATGTCAAGTCACACTAGTCATCCCAGGCTGCTCTAGTCCCTATAACCTAAGGCTGTTTCAGGAATTTCCAAAGAAATGTGATAGAAATGTGATTGCTTATCTCCATTCCTCTGGGGGTGGAAATCAATTTGAATGGCCACCTGGAAACTAGATTTTGTCTGTGGCCAAGTTTCCTGCACTCTAGAAAACTTTATATAAGTACAATTTCTAATATTTAGTCTATCTCTCTGAATAACACACAAAGAGAGAGAGAGAGAGAGAGAGAGAGAGAGAGAGAGAGAGAGAGAGAGGTGAGGTACTTAAATGGAAGACTAGATAAAGACCCAGAACTCTTCAGATTACTGTATAGGACTAAGTGGAACTTTGCCCCCCAGTCTGTCCTGAGAGAATTCCTTTTTGAAGAACCCAACTCAGAGACAGCTTTAATATGAAACACTGAAAGGAATTTAGTGTAGGATATTTAAGTAGACTTTTCTGGTTAGAAAACTTAAAACTGATTGACAGTTTCTTTGGATCTTTCCACAAATAAAGACAGTTTCACCTTAGAAGGAACAAAAGCAATGACAAATTCACCCGGAGTCCCTATTCAGTGAAACACTGTTTTGAATTTCTCAATTTCCATCTGTTCTGCCTTTCTCTGTATTATGATACTTCATGCTAAAATGGAAATAAAAATTATATAGGACTGTTGATACTTTTATGTTGTAGAAATTCACTCATAAACTCTTTCAATTTGATTTAAAGTTACCCAAATAACAGCTCTTACCCCTGCGCCTGACTTGAAGATAATATATTGAAGAGGTTCTAAGAATCTTAAGTGAGATCACAGGATGATTCTTAATTACACTTACTAGAACTCTAGACCACGGAGATGAAGGAAATTGAGAAATTTTAGCCTGTAAACATAAGTTAACAGTATTCTTTGTGATATTTCCCAAATATATTCAAGAGATTTGTTAGTCCCTACCTGAGGTCATAGACATTTCAGGCTGAAGCCTGGTTATTGCTATACAAACACTCTTAATTGACAATATTTCTATATGAAAGAAACATGAACTCAATATTAGAAGGCTTTGAGTTAATGTTGTTTGTTTTGAAGAAAGCATTGATTCTCTGGTGGCAAGTGAATTTAACATCAATATTCATCAATATGGGCTTCAGAGTATAGCTCACATGGGATCATGTTTGTTTAGCATGTCCAAAACCCTGAGTTCAATGACAAACTTCACATAAATTTACATAGTGACATATACCTTTAGTAGACACAATAGATATTTGAATCCTAGAACATCCAAATCCAATGTCATCTTTGAGGACATAACAAGCTGATGGTCAGAATGGGATATATGAAAGCCTGACATAATAATTAACCAAGTATCTACACAGATAGAAACTCCTCAACCCCTAAACAGTAACAATAATAAGCCAAGTAAAATAAGCAGGAACAAGCACACAGAATTTTTTGACTGGGACAAAGACCAAACATATTAATCTTATTAACATTAAACATATATGGTTGGTCTTATGGTACAGTAAAAAAAATGATCAGACAATTTGTTTAAAAATTAATAATTGTTCCTACTTTCAGACAGGAACAATTATGGGTCAGAGTTTTGACTGTAGGATAGCAACCACATCCCTAACTCAATGCCCTGTCTTCTGCTGGAGGTAGGCCTTACAAGTTCCCTCTCTCCACTGTAGGACATTTCATCTAGGGTCCCTCCCTTTGATTCCTGAGAGTATCTCCCCTCCCAAGTCTCTGGTACATTCTGAACCCTGAACCTCCTACCTACTGAGGTTGGCTGTTTCTAGTCTTTCTTCTGGCCCTCAGGGGTTCAGTCCTTTTTCCCCACCCAATACCACATCATGTTCCCCTCCCCAGGCTCCTTTCCCTCCATGTTTCTTCCCTCCCTTCACCCTTGTGGTTGCTTTCTTCTTCCTCCCAAGTGGGACTGAGGAGTTCTTACTTGGGCTCTTCAGCTTACTGACCATTTTGAGTTCTGTGGACTGTAGGACTGTGTCTTGGGTATTCTGTACTTTTTTTCTTTTGGCTAATATCCATTTATTAGTGAGTACATATCATGCATTACCTTTTGGTTCTGAGTTATCTCACTCAGGATGATATTTTCTAGTTCCATCCATCTGCCTACAAGACTCAGGATGTCCTCGTTCTTAATAGCTGAGTAGTATTCCATTGTGTAAGTGAACCACACGTTCTGTATTCATTCTTCTGCCATGGGACACCTGGGTTGTTTCCAGCTATCACAAAAAAAGGACACTATGAACATAGTGGAACACATGCCTCTGGGGTATGGTGGGCATCTTTTGGGTATATTCCAATGTAGGGATGGAAATGGAGAAGAGCCTGAGGAAAAGAAGGTCCAGTGACAAGCCTAAAGCGGTATTTAGCTCAAGGGGAGGCCCCCAGGCTGGACACTATTACTGAGGCTATGGAGTGTTCACAAAAAGGGATCTACCTAGACTGCCCTATGAAAGAACCAACAGGCAGCTGAAAGAGTCAGATGCAGATATTTGCACCCAACCAATGAACAGAAGCTACTGT